TAACCCATGCCTGTCATTAAACACGCTGGATCTTGGAGTGTAGAGGTTTTTTTTTTCAAATATTAAATTGAAAATTAGGTAAGACTATGATAATATAAGGCACTTGTTTAAAATGTACACTTCACAGGCAGTTTGACTTTGTTATTTTTTAGAAATACCTTATTTTACAGCGGCTGCTCTTTCAGACTCACTATGGGATGTTAACACTGATTCTACTTGCAAGAATTAATGATTTTTTTATGTTGGATCAGACAAATTTGTTTTTGATTTGATCAATTACTTGTTTAGAAAGAATAAAAGATGCACAAAATCTACCAACTCTAACAATCCTGTCTTAACTAGCTGTAAAGGTCTGGTCTGTTCTAACTAATCTGAACTCTTATTTATTTTCAGCATCTTTTAATGGAAAAACCAACAAAAACGCCTTTTTCAGGCCACATCATTCTGCTTTAAAGCCAAAATAATCTAAATTCCATCTATTCCGCGGGCTTTGCACCAAATCAACACAAATAGTGACATAAGGTGTTTATAAAAACTCAGTCATTAAAAAGTCACCGGTAAGAAACAACTTCAGTTTTTAAAATAAAGCATCATTAAAGTGTGATTTTTTTTTCTACAGGTAAATATTGGATAATATATTCTAAGCTCTTGCAAGAAACTCAAACTCGAGTAAAAAAAAAAAAGCTTTTTTTTTCCCCCAAAGGTTCATTATTATTAAAATATAGATGTTTTTCTGTAATGAATGCAGAAAAACACATCATAGATCACTCAGCTGTGATCTACACTCCTACATCTATAAAACAGATTAGAGGAGGTGTTATTCTAACTGCGCAGATAAAATGCTTTAATGGACAGATATTACTCATGCAAACTGCAACAAGTTGAGCAAAACTCCTAAAACATCAATCAGACGTAGAGTTTGAACAAAACCAGGAAACACTGGAGTCTCAAACATACCAAAGGAATTCACTGGCAGCAAAAAAGCATTGGTGTCCCACAGGTGAATGAGAGTGCAGCGAGCGTGAACGGCGGCCTGTCACAGAATCCCCTCCAAGTCCCAAGAGTGTTCGATAACTTGTCAACTCACCAGACACGGCGTCGTGGAACTCATCCTCGCTGAGGGCGCTGCGCGGTGACGATCCCTTGACGACGGATTGCTCAAGTTCGTGGTGCTCCGTGGCCAGAGTCTGCAGTGCTTCAGAGAGGATCTTGTTCTTCTCCACCTCGTGCTCCAATTTCACACTGCGCACCTGAGCTCGCCGCACACACAGAGACACAGACAACAGGGACGGATTAATCACTGACAGAGAGGCAGAAAGGGGATTCTCTTTTTCACTTTTAATAACCACTGATTGACATTGTGGCGCTCTCATGGTGGCCTGATGCTAATTCCCATTTCATTCTCAATGCAAACAGAAAGCAAACATGATGATGAGATCAACTGTGATGGCAGCTACTCTGAAGATAATCAGTGTGTCAACTGATTGATCTCTTTAAGCAGAGCCACAGAGGGAGCTGAGCGGGACCAGCCATGCTGTTCTGTAACAGAGGACAGCTGCCTTGATGTTGCGGTCTCAAATGGCCTGCGGGAGAACATGATTCCGGTGCAGGCCATACTGATCAAATGACAGCTGCTGGATGCTGAATAAACCATTAGCTAATACCCCCCCCTAACACAAAATAAAGGGTCTAGAAAAAGTATTAAAGTCCCTTAACTTATGCATTTCATTTGGCACTGTAAGTGACAGATCAACACAAAGTCCTGCATAACTGGAAAGTTATAAAGCATAAATGGCTCTTGCTTTATCTTTAGAATCACTGTCCTGATTAAAGGTGAACCTTTCCACCAGCTGTTTGCCATCTTTTAAAGGATTTTATCCATTATCTCCTGAACTTCGAACATCTTCCCATCAGAGAAACCAAATAAATAACAACTGACTATATGAAAATAAAAGAGTAAGAAGCAGTGGGGTACGACCAGGACAGCTTCAGTTATTAATAGCTTTCTTGTCCCTGTTGAAGATAATGATTCTGTGAGCATCATGCAGCCACTACTGTGTTTTGCTGCTGGGTTAATGTGGTGTTCAGGGTCAGCTTCAGAGTTCCTTATAAGGATTGTGGCAAAACACAAACTGGGCTTCTTGTGACTTTAATTTTATAACGGCTCTCCTCTTGTCAGCCCAAATGTACAGATTTGTGTAGTTGTGTCTGTATACATATACATACCTATATATACATATACACATACATATATATTTATACACACTACCGTTCAAAAGTTTGGGGTCACATTGAAATGTCCTTATTTTTGAAGGAAAAGCTCTGTACTTTTCAATGAAGATAACTTTTAACTAGTCTTAACTTTAAAGAAATACACTCTATGCATTGCTAATGTGGTAAATGACTATTCTAGCTG